ACCTCACTAGCAATCAAAGAAATATACATTAAATCAACGATGAGAAACTACTGTTTCTCAAAACAGGCAAATATCTTTTAAAATGAAATCTCCCAACAGTGAAAAGGGGATGATACAAAGGGCATTTTCCATACACTGAGGGTGGGGGGTATACAGCACATGTCTTGGAGGAAGCAATTTAGCAACATCCAGCTCCAGCCTCTAAAGTGGTCATACCCTTTGATCTGGTAACTCCGTTCCTGGAAGTGCAGCCTAAGGACATATTCTAAAATAGAGAAAAGGATTTTTATGCAAAGAAGCTGCTGTTGCTGGCAGCATCATTCACAACGGTAAGCAACTGAAACAAACTAAATAACTCTAATGAGTGTTGCTGGATAAATAACTATGGCTTATACATATGGCAAATTATGCAGAATGAAAAGTGATTTTTTTCCATCTTTAATAATTACACATCTAGCAGAGAAATGCATTCTCATTATTTAAAAAAAATTCAAACACAGAAAGCAGTATAAAAGGTAAAGACTCTCCCTTCCTATCCCTGCTCTTAACCACTTTTCTTTCCCACCCCTGTGCTAATCCCCTTCCCAGTAGCAGTCACCAGTAGGAATCTGATGTGTGTCTCTCCAGACATTTTTCCAGGCGTTTATTTACATGTATATATATATATATATATATGCATATATAGTTAGGCTTTGTTTTCTTCTACAAAATTGGATCATATCACTTGTATTACTGTGTAATTCATTTAATATTTCTAGGCAATCTTTTCATCTCAGTACACATGGATCTACCTCATTCTTTTTTTTAAATAAATTTTAAAAATTCTATTTATTTTATTTTTGGCTGCGTTAGGTTTTTGTTGCTGTGCGCAGGCTTCTCATCGCGGTGGCTTCTCTTGTTGCAGAGCACGGGCTCTAGGCGCGCAGGCTTCAGTAGTTGTGGCTTGTGGGCTCTAGAGCGCAGGCTCAGTAGTTGTGGTGCACGGGCTTAGTTGCTCTGCAGCTTGTGGTATCTTCCCGGACCAGGGCTGGAACCTGTGGCCCCTTCATTGGGGCCACCAGGGAAGCCTTCACTTAACCATTCTCTATCTAATGTACATTAAGGTTTATAATTTTTCACCATAACAAATAAGGCTGCTCTAATAAACACCCTTATACCCGTAAATAAGCATTAATAGAGTTTATTAAAATATGGGGAAAATCCTTATGTCATAATGGTAACCAAGTTCTACATACAGTACAATTTCAACTACATAATAATATACATAAGAAAAGGAGAGAAAAAAATAATAACAGTGGTTGTTTCTGGGTAGTGGGATTATGAATTTCTTTTCTTAGTTTCTATATTTTTCTGTATTTTCCAAACTTTCAAGTATTACTTTATAATCAAAGATGAGTAAAATTAATTTTTAAATAACAAGAAGAACTATTATTCTATTGTTTACATGGTGGGAGAAGGTATAGAGGAAGTTTATTAAAAGAAATATAGCAAATATTAGTTTACCTAGGAAGCAGCTGTCAGAATTGGACAATGAATTAAGTTACCAAACTAGCAGCACTAAAACTGCTCAAGTAGCCACGGTGACTAGAAGATAACCAGCTCTCTAGTGTGGAGGAATGGTGATTACAACCAAAAAATGGCACGTAGGTGGACATGCTGAATTAGCTAACAAATCCAAGAGAACTGACAACATATGTCTGAGCCAAAATCTCATAAATGAATGTTCACAACAACACTATTCATAAGAGCCAAAAAGTGGAAACAACCCAAGTATCCATCAACTGATGCGTGGATAAACAAGATTGGTGTATCCATACAATGAAATACTACTAAGCCATAAAAAGGAGTAAAGGATGAAACTTGAACACATTACACTAAGTAAAAGAAGCACATGGAAGGCTAACGTTAAGTGATTCCATGTATATGAAATGTCCAAAACAGGGAAATCCATAGAGAAAGAAAGTAAATTAGTAGTTGCCTATAACTGGGAGGGTTGGGAAGAGATGGGGAGTGACTGTAATCTGGCTGAATCCTGTCCTTCACTGCACTTGGACTTGAATGGACTACTTCCATAATGAAAATATTTCAAATGAAGTCACCGCCACCCGAAAAAAGAACAGCTGAAAGGTTCTGCCAACATTCCAGTCCACAAAGATAAAAGAAAGATGGGATTAAGTGCTATTTTGAAATGAAAGTCAGTAATAAAGATCAAAAAACTAAAGCTTAAAAAAATTACGCTGCTGAGATTAATGATTCAGTAAAGACTAGCAATTGGCTTGAAGACAGAACGTGTGGTTAGAGAAGGACAGCCCAGCAGTTTTTAAAACTCAGGAAAATGTTCAGAACAGGAAAGCAAGAGGGGAGCCTGCTGGTTAGAAAGAAAAACAGCAGTAATGTACCTCAAAGAATTGTAAAAATAACATAGAAAAATATGGTTATATAACAAGCACAATAAGCCTTTAATTTCAATGAAACTTTTTTTTAAAGAAAAATTTAAAAGTCAAACAGGGCATTTATTTCAAAAGAAGAAAATGTCAGTGTAAGGCTGCAAAAGTTAAACTGAGCCGTTTGCTTGAGGATAACGTGACAGAAAATTATACACTGGTCTCTTAAGTTGTTTATCACTCAGAAAGCCCAAGGATATTTAAGATATTTTCAACTCACAGAAAATCCTGATTGTACAAAACCATGGGAAGAAATTGTACATGTCATCTCTATTAATAGAGAGGGGCCATCTCTATTAGAATTATTCCGACAAGTTTCAATTTCACTAGAATCTCCTAGAGTCAATACACTGGTATTGAGAGGAATTAATCAAATAATTCAAGCTCAGTGGGCATGTTTCAGATTCTGATATTGCTTTTGTTGTAGTTATAATTCCTGCTAACATTTTAGGGGACAAAAGCTACATTCAAATCTGGTAGAACAATGCTGAATACTCAGTGGTCCTTAAACTAGCCCTGGTTTAGGTAGCTTTCACTGATGCTATTTATTAGATCTGACAGGGTTGTTGGCAAGATTAATTGAGAGGATGTATTCAAAGCACCTGTAGCATCATGCCTGGCACAAAAATACAGGTTCACTTCCCCTGGAAGAACGCAGCTAAAGGACTGTGCCTCCGTCGTAACATTATACGTTTCTTTAGCAATCTGTAATTTTCAAAGTTCATCCATCATCCAAACACAGAGTAGGAGGAACACAGTTCAAAATGTGTTTTTAATTATCTCTGAATTTAAAGGGTTTTGTTTCCCAGCTCCTTTCCCTGGCCCAGCAATTAACTGTAAAAAGGTAACCAGACATGATAAAATCAGTTCAGCTAATCTTTGAAGTAAAGACCTTAAACATTCTCTATGGGCAAGAGCTTTCAAACTTCTTTTTGAAAGCAGAGGTCCCCCTCCCTCTCCAAATTCGAGCTTATTGGATGTCTTGTTAAATCCGGTGATAAGAGCAGGGCTGGTCTGGCTGAAGCAGGATCTGGAACCACCCACCAGACCTCCCCTACTCAGTGGTCCCTCTGTAGAACCCCGAAACTCTCTGTTTTAAAACACTCCCTCATCCTATAAATGTGGAAACCAAGGCACAGAGAGGTCCAGAACCTTACCAAAGGTTCTGTAATCTAGTAAAGCCAAGTCTAGGATCCAAGAGTCTACCTCATCCTAGTTGCCTCCTTGGAGTCAAGACCACAGTCTGTGTTCTCAGGACCAAAGGCTGACATTTCTTACACATGACTATTCATCATCCAGAAATACTGCAACTGTACAAATCTAAGATAGGCAGCTGCAATTGTAAATAAACTGAACTGCTTCCACTTAACAAAGGTCAAATGGAAGCATATTAGTAATCAGCCTTCCCTTTAGGGGATCAAAATAGCATTCTCTGGCTGCCAAAAGAATTACAACCTACCCATAGGGGGAATTTATCAGTTTCTGGAACAAAGATAAAGGAAGTCAAAGAACCGCCTTCCAGGTTATTCTAGATGTACAGGGTAAGTAGCCCTATTACTGCTGGATTTTTGGGGGGCCTCGCCACAGGGCTGGTGGGAATCTTAGTTCCCCAACCAGGGATTGAACCCAGGCCCTCAGCAGTGAGAGTGCAGAGTCCTAACCACTGGATCACTGGACCACCAGGTAATTCCCCATTACTGCCAGATTAATGGAGGATCTGATAACAGTCATTGCTCCTTGCTTACCCATAGACACTTTCCCCTTCTTTCTTGATTATAGAACTCTGATTTTATGCAGGGTGTTCCCAGCTAAAAGACTAAATTTCCCAGCCTCCCCTGCAGATACTTATGACTTTACAACTAAGTTCTGGCCAATGAGATTTAAGTAGTCATGGGGCAGGACTTTTAGGAAAGCCTTTAAAGTAGTATATGGCCTTTTGCCATTTTTTCCTTTCTGTTGTCCTTTCTGTGACCTGGGATTTGGATGTGATGGTTGCAGTTCTAGCAGCTATCTTGTTATTTTGAGGATATAAGCCTTGCACCAAAAAGAACAGAACAGGAAGAGAGAAAAAGCCTCAGTCCCTGGTAACTTCATGAAGAAGGCATCAAAACAGCCCTGTACTACCTTTCCTCTGTGTGTGTGTATGTGTGTGTGTGTGTGTGTGAAAGAATAAATCCTTAAAGGACAAATTTACAGTGGTTAGGTCCCTTTTACTAGCAGCCGAACACAATCTCTAACCAACATAGACCTTGGACTCAGTGGCAGAAGCTAGAGGATCCATGCAGGAATCCTTAAGGAATGTGGTGATTCTGGGAAAGGAAGAAATTCATCACATGCCCTCCCTCACTCCTTGCCAGATTTTCAAGAAAAGTTCCAGAGCAGGTTAGCAGAGGGCAAGTACCCACAAGTTAAAATCAGATGCCTAGTAACTGAACTTATCAAAGTCTGGCAGGAAAAGAATAAATCTGTGAAAGTGGAGGGTGCCAGGGTGACCAGGGTGAGGACCTGCATCACTTCTTCCACTGCATCTGGCCAGGAGGGGGGCCCGTTTTGTACCTCTTCCAGGTTGCAGAACTCCTGACGCAGGGCTAGCTTCAGATCAGCGCATTCTCTCCCACATCTCAATGCTATCAGACACTCCTTGGTCAAATGTGGGACCTGATCAGAGGACACAGGTTCTTAGTGGAGAAGTCTGAGGGCTCCTGCTCTGCCTAAAAATGCAGCCAGAGCTTTGTCACTCCAGCTGAACAGGCCAACACCCATATCCAGGCTCCCCAGCTCCCTCTGAGGGCTACCTCTGTGGTTTCAGGAATCCACTTATCACAGCACCCTGGTAAACAAGGTGTTTTAGAGGGGGCTCTCTGGTGTTCCTTACTTGGTCAGCTATTTCCATGCTGTACAATCTTGGGTAGGGCATTTACCCTCTCTAAGCCTCAGTGTTCTCATCTGAGGAAGGAAGCAATAATAATACCCACTTTAAAGGGCAGTGGTGAGGATTAAACGAGTTAACCTTTATAAGGTAGTTAGAACAGTGCTTGGCACATCACAAGTGCTCAACAGACATCAGCTATTAATATCAATGAGTTATTTTTGTTTCTTTTCAAAGAGAACTGTCTTAAAATTTCTCCATCATATTCTCTCCCACTATCAACAGGTGCCCCCTTTTCTCTCTTCTACACATTTCCTGGATGGTTGGCACTCTTGTTCCCCATAAAGGCCAATCTCCTTCTGTGCATTACCTTTTTCACACCCCAATTTTTTTTTTACCTGGGATCTTGGAAATCATTCCTTTAAAGTATCACCAGTTTTCAATTCTTTCAATATTCCTGTCTCAAGTTACACAGTCATAACTATGCCATAACCGTAACTCTTGAGACTGCTAGTTCAAATGGAAAAGTACCTATCGGCTAAGCCTTTAACCTTTAATATCAGAGGTCACAGCTTTACTATAATTCCACACCAGTTATCCTCCTAAGGCACACATATGTATTAAAACATATCAATTTCACCAACGATTTGACTTTTAAAATGGATTAGAGTTTGGGAAAGACATACAAAGTAAAACAGAGTGTAAGTGGCTTTAAAAAAAAATTGGATATACCTTATAGAATAGCTCCAATAACATCTTTTGGCGAGCTCGCTCATAAGAGTCACAAGGATACAGCTTCCTTCCAGGATAAGCGTCATCCAGGTATTCACAAGCAATGACAGATTCATAGATCAGTTGACATTTGCTGTTCTCCAGGACAGGAATTTTGCCAAAAGGGTGCTTTGTAAAGTACCATTCAGGCTTGTTTCTCAGGTTAATGTTGATAACTTCATGTCTTACAAAGCAAAGGGAAAACAGGACAGAACAAAAATGAAAGGCTTAGGCAGGCACACATTCATCTTGAAAGCAGAAGCAATCAATCTATAAAATTAAAATTTGCAATGAGTTTTTTTTTTTTTTTTTTTTATGCGGGCCTCTCACTGCCGTGGCCTCTCCCGCCGCGGAGCACAGGCTCCAGACGTGCAGGCTCAGTGGCCATGGCTCACGGGCCCAGCCGCTCCGCGGCAAGTGGGATCCTCCCGGACTGGGGCATGAACCCGCGCCCCCTGCATCGGCAGGCGGACTCTCATACACTGCGCCACCAGGGAAGCCCATGAGTTTTTTTTTTTAATTTAGGTATGTACAAAGAAAAATACATGACAACATCGTCTTCATTCCTGCAGTAAGATGTGCTAGATGTTTTCGATGACTTATCCCATTAGCTCCTCACGATTCCCCAGTGAATCGGGGAATCATGATGAGCAGCAACGGAGGGGAGGCAAAGAAAACATTTAACACAGCCCCTGTGAGAAATAAGCCTCCTTGTGGTTGAATCTCCTGCCCAAAATCACCCACTAAGAAGTGGCAGAGCTGAGATGGGAGGCCAGGCAGTCTGACTCAGAGCTCACAAGCTTAACCATGGCACCACAGATTTCAGTACCTTTTAAAGTTTGAAAGTACAAATCTGATATCTGGAGACATTTTTTGTTTGCCACAACTGGAGGGAGGGGGATTCTACTGCCATCTAACGGGTAGAGGCCAGGGATGCTGTTAGACATCCAGCAGTGCACAGGACAGCTCCTCCCTCACCAAACACACAGAGCAAAGAACTATCCAGCTCCGAATGTCAACAGTGCCAAGGGTGAGAAACCCTGCCCCAAAGAAGTATTTACATCAGTTCCTAAGCTGCCACTTCATCACTGGGGGTAAAACATCAATTGTTATTTTTCTTAAAAAAAAAAAAAAAAGTAACCTTAAGGCCAAGTAGAATTGAGCAAGAGGGAAGAACCTGGAAATATAAGCCATAGAAACTCCACAGAGCAGAATTACATAAATTTCTTTAAAACGTCTCTGTATTAGTCTCTGCATCTCTTTAACATGAATCCGAAACTCCCGAACTACCGATTCTCCAAGGCCAGAGTCAAGAGGCTGGAGTAACACTTCTCAACACCTTGGCTTTGAGCTGGTCCATCCAGCCGTCCACATTCCAGCAAAGTTGCTCTGCCTTCCAAATCCAGATGTCCTTTGCAAGAGCTCGTTTTGCAAAATTCCTTCTGGACGGGTGTGTACCTATTTATCAGGTGTGTGGGAAACTTCAAGACACCTCTTTGAAAGCAGTTCCTTCTATTTCACTGTTTGGAACTATTTGTTCATTCATTCAAAAAATAGTTTTAAGCACCTACTACGTGCCAGGCTCTCTTCTGGCCCATGAATAAGAGAGACAAGTCCCTACCTTCAAGAACTTACATTTGTATGTGTGTCAGTGTGTGTTTCTATGTGTGTTGGGGGAGAGGCTGGGAGATGTAAAGGAAAGACGGATAAACAAATAAGAAAAGATTGCAAGCGCAATGAAGAGAACAGAATTGACCTGAAGACGCCTGGGGTGGGGTGGGGTTTACACTGGACAGAGCAGTCAGAGAAGGCCCAGGTAGCCTCCGTGGTGCCTTTCTTCACAAGCTCTAGGGGAGGAACCAGCTCACCGAGCCATCATTCGGTTTACTCTGAGCTGTCCTAAAAGTCTCCTGCACAGGCCTGTCTCTGCATTTCAGGACGGCACTCTCAAGAACCTGTCCTTTGCTAACCGTTTATTGACTTTGCCTCAGAAGAAAGGCACAGAGAGCCTCTGAAATCTGACCAGGGCTCCCCAGATATCAGATGTTCCCACGCACCTATGGGGGCCCCCCTGCTTCTCACCTGATGCCTTTGGCCTGGAGGACCAGGCGCGTCCTGTGCGCGTAGGGGCAGAACCTCATGCTGTAGAGGCGAATCAGGCCCTCTGGGACAGGCCCTGGGGGGGCGCTCCCTGCGGGCGGAGGGGGATACAGGGAGGCGGATTAGCCCAGAGGGGAGAGGGGCTCACTCGCCTCCCCAGGACCCTAAGAGGGCCACGGGTGCTCTGCCTCCCGTGTCCCAGAGAAGACACCTGTTTTTTGCACGTGGCTTTTGTGCGGAGGAACCCTGTCTCTCCTCGCCACGCTGGTCTGGAGGCCAAGGCCGGCAGCCACCTCACCAGAGCCAACATCCAGCCATGGGGCACCCCCAGCCCGCGGACAGCTGTCAAGAGGACTCACCTTTCCCCAACGTCCTGGTCGCATTGTCAGTCACCCTCTCCTGGTGTCTGCGCAGTGACCAAGGCTCACAGTTGTGGCCATGTGGCTTGCTGCCGCCACTGCAGGCTCCAAGGACAGCAGCGCTCCGGCTCTCCCCTCTTGCCCCATATTCAGCTTTGGAGCAACAGGGCAGTGGCGAGGTAGAGGGGGAGTGATCCAGGATGGCAGCTAGGATTATTCAACCTGCAGAGACATAGCCCCAGATTCGGAAGCCGTAGCAGGAGTGGGGAAAGAACAAAAAGCAAAAAAACCAAACAACGAAAAACAAACAAAAAACACCTGAAGAGTACACCTTGCTTTGAACTCACAACATCCTGTGCGGCCTCTTCTCTGCATCAAGAATCCGTGAAGACATGCCGCGATGTGGCTAGGCCCGTGAGCCATGGCCGCTGAGCCTGCACGTCCGGAGCCTGTGCTCCGCAACGGGAGAGGCCACAGCAGCGAGAGGCCCGCGTATCGCAAAAAAAAAAAATCTCTTATAAAAAAAAAAAAAAAAAAAACCGAGAAACCAGCTGATATGAAGCAATATCCAAAATATATCATAAAGTAAAAAAGCTAACTGTACAACAGTGTAACATGTCCCCATTTGTGTAAACAAAGCATTGTATGTGGCATCTTCCTAACAACATACACATCAATAAGGAGATGTGTAAATTGATTAAATAAATTAGTGTAACTGTACAGTGGAATGTGGAATTTTATGCTGCAGTTCAAAAGAATGGGATAGTACATGTGATAGATAAAGCTCTCTAAGATATTAAGTGAAAAGGGTTGAAGCAAAACAGTATGTGTATCACCTTTTTGTATAACATATGTTTCTATTTTCACAAACATATTTTGGAAAGACTCAGAAATAATTAACAGTGTTTAATATATAGGGGACCAGGGACTGGGAGATGGGGCTGGTGGGGAAGGCAGGACGGTATACTTTTACTTTTACTTTTTACTCATCTGCTCTGCTTGAATTTTCACTCTGAGTACTATTAAAAAGCATAGTTTAGGGCTTCCCGGCGTAACGCAAAAAAAAAAAATCTCTTTAAAAAAAAAAAAAAAAAAGAATCCGTGAAGAATGGGCATTTAAACTCCACTTATTTCAAAAGAGTTTTATAAAAAATTGACCGGGGTAACGCTAACGTTTTCTTTCCCATTCTAAACCCTCCCTCTTGTGTATCTAAGACAATTGGCCATATCCTGTGTATAATGAGTACTTTATTTATTTATTTATTTTTTTTTTTGTCTTTATAATAGAAAATGGCTAGAATCTCATATCTGTTCTTACATTCAGTCTGTTGTGACACAGTTCCTTTTTTTTTTTTTGCGGTACGCGGGCCTCTCGCTGCTGTGGCCTCTCCTGTTGCGGAGCACAGGCTCTGGACGCGCAGGCTCAGCAGCCATGGCTCACAGGCCCAGCTGCTCCACGGCATGTGGGATCTTCCTGGACCGGGGCACAAACCCATGTCCCCTGCATCGGCAGGCGGACTCTCAACCACTGCGCCACCAGAGAAGCCCATGAGTACTTTATTTTAAAATAAGGCCAAACTTTTTCATGATCTAGCAGATAAGAAGAAAAACGTATTGGTGTTAAGATCTTGCACGACCCTAAAAGTGTCTCCTTAAATTTTGTGTCCTCATTGCCTCACCCTAGTTCTGGCCATATTTATGAGATTTTACTCAAACTATGAAAAACTGGTGATGAACAGAAACAAGATACCTAGAGGCAAAGACAAATTTGTGAGCTCTTTCCAACTCCCAGTATAAATTTCAGAGAAGACCCTTTTTAATTACCAAGGACACATTGCGAACAGCCAGCAATACAGGGGCTGCTTGGATAGCATGCCCATCTACATGAGATAAAGGGGGTAGCTATCTTTTGCTCTGACCTTAAGAAGCTGAGATCCTAAAATTTAGCAGGTGGAAATACAATTCTTTTAATTTTTACAGGATAGAGCTGAAATGGGAATTGCTTGTAAATGCATTTTATGGGGTTGACAGGTAAGGAAGGAAAGAAAAGTATTATGTTTCACTCACAGTGACTAAATGATTTCCATGGGTTACCTTATTTGATTCCCACAACCACTCAGTCAGCTATTATTATTATTCCTATTTTACAAGTTAGAAAATAATCTCAGAAAAATAGGAAATGCCCTGGTGGTACAGTGGTTAGGACTCGGTGCTTCCACTGCTGGGGGCCCAGGTTCTAACCCTGGTCAGGGAACTAGGATCCCGCAAGCTGCACAGCGTGGCCAAAAAAAAAAAAAGAAAAAGAAAATTATTTGCCCAAAGTGACCGGTTAGTAGGGTTGAAGAACTTTAGAAGTCTGAAGTCTGGCTCATTGACTTGGCCTCTAAAGCTGGCAACAGTGTGGAGAGGAAAGGACATAAATACCAAAAAAGATATAGTGCATAATAGCTGCTCAACAAATGTTAGCTGAATCTAAATATCTTTTATTAAAGTACCAGAACCTAATTATGTAGCTTATGAACGGGCACCTTTTGGTCTTTGGAATTCCAACCTATCCAGAAATTCTTGGCTAACAGTGTTTACATTTTTTTCTGCTGAATAAGAATCTTGGAAAATCTTCAGAATAGTCACTAGACTACATTCTTTGCTAAGTTACTCAGAGTGATTTTATGTAAGATATGGTAAGTTGTCACTTTCTAAGAACTGGGGAATGGCAAAATGTATGAATAAATGTCCTCTGGAAAGAAAATGCATATGTGCCACCAAGAAGCCTGGCATTGGAAAAGACAAACTGGTTCTTGACTTGTCATGCTGGCAGTTTTGCATCTGGAAGACAGAGGAAGTAATAAGATAACTACTCTTCTGGAGCTCATTTTGATCAAAAAGTACAAACTGGAGGGTAAAATAGGAACAATCAACATAACCATGTCATGTGAGACAAGGAGCTGACTCCTGATCAGACAAATATAACACTCACATAGAGAAAGTATATTTCAAATAGTTGAGAGAAAATATAAACAGATTCTAAAAGGAAAGGCCGTATGAGGAATGTGAAATTCTCAAAAATCAAAATAAATTATATTAACATGGATTAGGTGCTTTATGTGTATTAACTAATTTAATCCTTAAAAGAGTCCTATAAGGGTTGTATTCTTGCCTCAGTAAACTGAGGCTAGCAAGGTTAGGTCACTTGTCAAAAGCCTCACATCTAGTAAGAGGTGCAAAGGGTACTATGAAGCCTGGAAGTTTGACTCCAGGGCCAGCACTCTAACCAGGATCTTAATCTATACGAGAGATGGGAAAACTTTTTTTTCTGTAAAGGCCAAGACGGTAAATATTTTAGGCTTCTCAAGCCATCTTGTCTCAACTACTCAACTCTATCCCTGTAGGGTGAAAACAGCCGTAGATAATATATAAATAAATGGGTGTGGCTGTGTTCCAATAAAACATTACTTATGAATGTTGAATTTGAACTTCATATATATTTTAATAGGCTTGGTTTTTTAGAGAAGTTTTAGGTTCATAGCAAAATTTAGCCGAATATATAGAGGTTTCCCACTAACCTCCGACCCCCACACGTGCACAGCCTCCCCGACTATTGAGCATCCTGCATCAGGGTGGGAGGGACATTTCTTACCATTGAGGAGTTCTACGTACTTTTCACATGTCACAAATCATAATTCTTCACTTGATGTTTTTTTCCAACCATTCTTAGTTCTTGAACTGTGCAAAAATGAGCACTGGGCTGGACTCGGCCCACTGGCTTTAGTTTGCCCATCCCTGGTATACACTGACAATGACTGGATTAGCAATAGCTAAGCTAAGGATTCTATTTGTAAAGTAAAAGTTTCCTGGCTCCACCTTTCTACCATGCCAGAAGAGAATGTATTTTCATGTTGTGTCTCCTCATTCCCACCTTTTCAAGAAAAGCAACTCCGAGAGTTGGAAAATATTGTTTATTAAAAGTATGGCTGACCCTTAACAACTAGGGGTTTCAGGGTGCTGGTCCACCACACAGAAGAAAATCCAAGTATAACTTTACAGTCAGCCCTCCGCATCCGTGGTTACGCACCTGCAGATTCAACCAACTGCAGATCATATAGTACTGCGGTACATATTTAGTGAAAAAAATCCACGTATAAGTGGACCCTTGCAGTTCAAACCCATGTTGTTCAAGGGTCAGCTGTATACCTGTATATGGGAAGTCACATTCTGAGATGATGCAAGTCTATTTGATGTAGTCAGGGGAGAATGGACAAAGGGATGGAAAGTTCTTCCTCTGAATGGAAGCAATATTATGTCAAAGTTCTCACTGGGCACTATACTCAAACCCTGGCTTTGGCACTTAGGCAAGCTATCTAACCTCTTTGACCATCAACTTCCTCACCTGTAAAATGAGAACACTAAGCACCTACTTGAAGGGTTTTGATGTAGTGTATGAAATTGTTCAGGTGGCCGTCCTCAGTACAGTAAGAGTTTAGTGTACTTCAAAATTAATGATTACTACTAGTGAATAAGGACACATTTTTAATAGCATAGTGCATTCTGATTTTATATCCAAAAAGATAAAGTGCACTGCAATTCGGCTTTGCCAAGCACATTAGAATTAAAATTCAACTCAGAATGCTTATTTCATCAGTTACCAGTTTAATACCAATTGAATGGGTTGAATGCTGCAGGCTACCTTTCAGTAATGTGGTTTTTAATCTTACCACTGAACACTATGGTTTCCCTAGAAAGATTTTAATTATGATCTTTAAGCTTAACCCTATTTCCTCTCTAAAACTCAGTACCTCTTTGAAATCCTCTTTGCAAATGTTCCTTGTATATCATGTTTACACCTCTATTATACTGAGTCACTCAAGAAATAAATGGTAATAAGGCTATATTAAACCTACTCCAAATTGGTTTCCAGCTACCTGAAATATGACGGCATCTGTTTTGAAAATGGGGAGAACTTCAGTCCTGGGTGATGATGACTTAAGCCTTCTAGGAAAAAAGTGCCACCACATTAATAATAGTCTCTTCACTCTATTTACCTGAGTCTCTGTTTTGAGGAGAGGAAGTGGGGTTTGCATTTTGCAATTAAAAAAAATTTTTTTTTGTCACACCAATCTCTGATAGTGACAGAACCTGGAGGACATTCCTCTTAGTATTTCAGAAGCCTAATTTACATGACAGATTGTTACTGGGAGTTCCACTATTATTCACCAAGTTCAAAGAGTTAGGCAAGTGAGGAAAAAGGCTCTTTTTCAAACGGGCCTAGATTTAGGACTTATTTCAAAGAAGTTAGGATCAGAGAGAATCCTGTATTCTAATGTCTTTGGGACATTAAATAAGATTACTAAAGTTGTCAGTGGGGGAACTTCATCTTCCCACTGGGGAAAGCAGGGTCAAAGGAGACTTTCTTTTTAAGTACCCTGATTCTGCTTTCCTGTTCCTATTTTATAGCTTAAAGGATCAAAGAAAAGAAATTAACAACCTTATATAATAACACTTGAATAAGCAAAGGCAGATTTTCAAGATCCTAAAATAAGCCAAAATGAAACATTTGTAAAATCAAACAAATTTCGATTTGTTTGGGTTTCGAAAAGGAACATCAACACTTCCTGTCCTATCCCAGGAACAACAGTGGTGTGTCAAAAAAGTGGCTATAGTCCTCTCTCAGCTCAATCTCCAAAACTTAAAAGTTGATGAATAAAGAGTCTGAGGCAGAGGCATATTTAAACACTTATTTTAAGAATGGTCTGAATGACTGTTAAAGAGTTCAGGCTGGGTTTGAATCACCTCTTCAACATTTACTGGTCGACCCTGGACAAATCACAGCAACTTTCTATGCCCTGATGTTCTCATCTGTAATTCAGAGCTAATGGTACCAACACATTGTATGGTCTGGGTTGAAGTAATTCAGACCATATGGATGAGAAGCATTTAATACGTAGCAACCGTTAGCTATTATTTTTATTATTTGAATGTTGCAGGGAAGACCATAGTTCTGACAATGTTCTGACAAGACAGTCTGTCTGTGCCCTATAATGTAGCTAAATTAGTGGTGCCCAATGCAGGGCTGACAATTAGTGATATGGGGTCGTCTTTACTTGTCTCCAGCCAAATCAGAAAACGAGAACAATTTAATGACTTTTTCTTTCCCCTTTAAGTTAAAGGTATTCGCTTTAAAGACATGTTCCTTACTCTCAGACTATAGCCCTTGCGCTTTTTTTTTTTTTTTTGATGGTAAAATCTCTGATGAAACTTTGAAGTAGTTGAGCTTTCTTTTAAAACGGTTTTACGCAAAATTAAAAGTTGGCAATCCTATTCTGGGTTCCCAAATTCGTGAAAAATCTCAAAATTCAAAATTGACCTCTAACCCCTCGTCCCTTCAAATGCTACGCAGGCAGCAGCAACCCACCCGGCGCAGGTGAAAAGAAAGACGGGCCCGATGCACGTCCAGGAGCGCGGCGGACGGAACCGGATGTGGAGGAAGAGAGCCGCCGGAAGAGGCGGGGCCCATGCGGAAACCGCCCCCTAGAACGCGATCCTATCCGCCAATTGGCCGCGGCGCCCGGAGCTTCAGCCAATCTTCCAAGCCTTTGTATGTGCCCCGACCTCGCAATGCCAAGCTGAGCCAATGGGCGGCCGTGTTACAGGCTCCTGGGTCCCGGAGTCTTGGGTCCTCACGGGTGTCTGTGGCTGGCCAAAATGGAAGCCAGGTAGTGGCTGGTTATGGCACCTCAATACCCTGGTCTACGTCCAACCGAAGTCTGCCCGCAGCCTGCCCCGGGTGGGGCAGGCGGACGGCGGCAGAGATGGGTCCGCCCGGAGCCTGGGCGTTGGTGGCGGCCGAGGTGGGCGGCTGGAGGCCGTTTGTGAAGTCAACCAATTCTCAGCTGCCTCTCAGGGTGCGGCCCCCTGGTCGCCTGCATCACCGTGGGGCGGAAGACTCATTTCAAATGTGAACTCCCCGGCGCACCCTACCGAATCGGAAATCCAGGGTGAGCCTTAGGTGACTGTTAACGCGCTCTTACGTTTAAGAATAAGGACAGGAAACTAGACTGTACTGGGGCAGGCCGACAGCCCGCCCCCTAGTTCTGATATAAGAGCCCTTTGCTGGGTGTGTTTCCCCAGAACTTTCTGCCAGCGTCTTAAGGCCTCACTTAACCTCAGGACCGTAGTTGAGTCATCTGTAGAATGAAATCCAGCCTTATATACTGAACTGATGGAGGTGGTCTTCACAGTATTCAGTTACATATATGGGACACCTTCTGTGTGCCCAGCATAAGATTTGGTAGGAAGGATTTGAAGGGGTTAGTGACTGGAGACTGGGAGAACAAATAGGAGACCACCTAGTCACCTGGCTTTGAGGTGACGTGGGTCTGGACTCAGTGGCAACAACAGTAAGAAGAAAGGTGTAAAATTGAGTCAGTGATGGAAAGGAAAGAATGAAGAATTGAAAGGGTCTTAACTCAGAAGCCAGAAGACAAACTTGAAAGGACATCTCTTGAAATGACAACACGGTATCCAAGTGGAAATGTCCTTTGGGCAGTTAGAGATCCAGATTGAAGTTCAGCTCTCACTAGAGGTGATTTAGAGGTTTTCAGCATGGACTGTGATAGAACCCTTAGCATCCTTTGAGCATCCTGAGACAGGAAATGTGTTTACATTTCTGCAGGAGGAAAGCCCACAGTAAGGCCATAGTGTCAAATCAGAGAAGGTGATCCAGTGAGACATGAGAGCACTTGGTAAAATAAAAGCACGTTATTATTCATATTAGTGAACCGATATATTATCCGATATATCCTGTCCCCTTCAGAGCCCATAGTCACAGGCCTCGAGGTTGTTCTGCAAGTAGAGATCTAAGAAACCTCGAAAGGCTTTTGGATCAATGAAGAGGGATGATACTGCAGGATCTTTCATCATGGCTGCCATCCAGAGCTTAAGATTTGGAGTGTGGTTTACATACCTGTGGGAGATGGAAAGAATGAAGGTGTGAGCAAGGCTAAGTAGGAAGGCATTGCAAATTCTCCCATATATCATTATTACCACTCTGCAGTTTCATATTGTTTTCCTCTAACTTTTAAAAATAGTTCCTTAAAAATACTTATTTAAGATGCATGTAATCATTGAATATGAGATTTGGAAGATATTGTAGAGGTCCTTGTTTTGTGAAGAGGAATCTAAGACTAGAGTGAAGTGACTTGCTCAGTTAGCATGAGAACTTGTCCAAACGGAGGCTGATAGTTTTTTAAAGTGAGAACAGGAAAGACAACCAAGAATGTTATATATTTGTTATTCTATGGTCAGATTGTGACTAAAAGTAACCCTGAATAGCTCTAAGCTCTAAGAAGTGGCAGTAAGCCAAGGTCGCTGCCAAACTCCAAAACACAGAGTTTGGAAAATAGTGTGGGACTCTTGATGGTAAATGGGAGGTAGCATTGGTCATACAGTCCTTCCTGAAATCCTTGTGAAAATGCACATCCTTATGGATTTTTAACCAGGAGGGAAGGAGTAATTACTTTTAAAACATTTTACTACATGTCACAGAACTCCCCACCCCTACCGGCCCCAAGGATGAAAAATGGTGAGTGTAGGTATAGGACATGCCCTGGAAAGTCCAAGTCTCCTCCTGTCTGCTTGCTCCCATTCATGCCAGTTGAATGAGATATGTTAATTTTTGTTCCTAAAAAATGGTTAGTACATACTATTTCAGTTATCATTATCCTAAATTAAGCACAAAATATTCAAATATCTTACTCATTTAACTCCAGGGCTACCAGCCATTCAAACCAGGGCCAGATGAGGTAATCAATCATAGAAAGAGAACTGCCACCAAAGAAGGTTGTCTTCTGCTTAGTCAGAACCTGAACATTAAACAGCATAAGAGTACTTGTTATTTGTGCATCTGGTAAGATTCATCAAAAGAAATGATGAAGGCAAGAGTTAAATTAAGAAAGTGAGAGCAGCAGGTTTTACCCTGACATATTCAAGTTGGCTTTTTGTCTGATTAGTTTAAGCTTTAGAATCTCTTGGTTTGGGATGAAGCAAAACGGTCAATAAAATAAACTGGAAAATGGAGAAAAATAAAACAAGCTGCAGAGTACATGATCTTTGTAATAGATATATCCAACAAAGGACTGGTATTCAGAATATAGAAAGAACTCCTGGGAATCAAAAAGAAAAAAGGCAGAAAACCCATCAGAAAACTGGGCAAGACTTGGACTTCACAAAAGAGGAGGTCAAAATGGCCAATAACCATTTGAAAAGGTGCTCAACTACATTAGTCATCGGGGAATGCAAATTAGAACCAAAATGTCATACCACTTCACATCCATCAGAATGGCTAAAATGAACAAGACAAACAGTAAGGGTGTGCATCTACTGCTGATAGGAATGTATCAATCATTTGGTACAACCATGTTTTAACAGTATCTACTAAAGCTGAGTTCATGCATACTGTATAACCCAGTAATTATATTCCTTGGAAATGTGAACATATGTTCACCAAAAGATAGGTATAAGAATGTTCATTGCAGCACTATTTGTTACATCCCCAAGTGGAAATGTTTACTGTCTATCAGGACTAAAATGGATAAATTGTACAGGAGTCATACACTGGAACACTATACAAAGAATAGGAATGAACTACACACAATATAGATGAACCTCAGAAACCTGATACTGTATGAAAGAAGCCAGACCCCAAAGAGTGCATATTATATGATTCCATTTGTATAAAGTACAAAAACCATCCAAAAGTAATATTCTGTTTCTAGATATGGATGCTAGTATCATGGCTGTGTTCACTTTGTAAAAATTCACCAAGCTGTACTCTTATGCTTTGGGTAAATCTCTGCATATAATACTTCAATAAAAAATTTACTTAAAATATATTGGAAATAACTAGATTAACTGCTAAACAGTTGCCAAATAAAATTATTTGAAAACCACACACAGATACTGTGACTGTGAAATTTAAGAAGGTGAATTGGTATGGTTTTGCAAACAGAAGAACTGAGACTATCATCTGGCTAATCAACACCAAACCATTTTATAAAACACCCATAGTTTTTCTTAGGGCCCTTATAACATTCTGCATTGAAGATAGATCATTTATACCTACCTGAGTATTTGTCTTTGGTCTACCACCAAACTAATCATCTGAGCAGTATGGACCGCATCTCACCTTCTACCTCCCATGCTGTCCAGCAGAGTGCCTTGCAATTATTAGGCACTCAGAATTGTACAATGAATCACTATTGTTTGCGGTTGTCCTTAAACTGTAGCGCCTGGTAATATTATACATAAATAAAATAAGTATGATAGTTTCACTCAGAAGGAAATGTTCTCTCAGCAGCCTGAAACATGGAAATGGTACCACTCACTGTAAAGTGTGAGTCCTTAACCTGGAGTTCTGTGAACTCAGATGGGAAGAAAATTTTATGTCCCCCAACTAACCCCAAATTTAGCAGGTAGTATGTGGATGTTCTACTGCTCCAGGGGCTGGTACCTTCAGCCTCCACCTTGTTCAAGAGTCAACTGTAGTTGTACGTAGAGATTACTTGAAATCAGGAAACATGATTATCTTCGTGTCCCTATATGTGAAAACTGATTCCCTGGCGGTCCAGTGGTTAAGACTCTGCCTTCCAGTGCAGGAGGCGTGGGTTTGATCCCTGGTCAGGGAACTTAAGATCCCCCATGGCATGTGGTGTGGCCAAAAATAAAACAAAAACAAAAACAAAACCTGATTCAAGAAAGAATATAAAAATCCTGAAAATCAATTAACATTAAGGAAACTGAACTATACTATTAAACTCCACCCCCATAAAAGACACCAGACTCAAATGTTTTAAAGAAATAGCCAAACGCTATCAAATGGTTTCAGATGTTAGAAATCCAGAGAAAGTAAGCCAACACATTTTATGAGGTTACAGTAGCCTTGATATAAAAACCAAATAAAGATATGATAACAAAATAATCTTCTTTACAAAGAAATATGCAAAAATCATTTAAATATCAACTAATTCTAAAGTATATGTGAAAATCCACTGAAAACAAGTAGGTTTTACACAGTAATACTGGCATGGTTCAACACCAGAAAAATCTGTCAGTGCCACCATATATATTCGCCAGATTAAAGGGAAAAAGTTCAATGAACATTTCAGTAGATATAATAGATGCAAACAAAACACTAAAAATCCAACACTCATTCATGACTTTTTTTAAGATTAGAAAACTAGTAATAGAACTTTCTTAATAAAAAAAGGTTTCTGAAAAAATCTCCAGCAAAGTTCATACTTAATGATAAAAGGTTAGGATGGATTCCCATACGAGACAGGACTGTATCTTCTCTCAGGAAAAACCTAAGGTTGAGTGTGAATGGAGGATGATGATTCCATATACAGGTCCAAATGGCAGCTCTTCCACAAAGCAGGTAAAAACACATCTGGGCTTCCCCAAATGTCTGTCTGACTAATGGC